AAAAAAAAAAAAAAAAAAAAAAGAAAAAGAAAAAAAAGAAAGAATGAAAGAAATTTCCTTAACTAAATCAAAATGATCCTAAATTCAAAATCAAGAACCAAGGGAGCATTAAGAAAATTGTTAACCTTGGGTCAGCACAGGGATAATAAAACTAGACAATATAAAGAGGGCCTTCTTTTAACTCAGTACCCTAATCAATAATCAAAGAGCCTTACAATGATATCTGTGTCATGCTGAATAATGGCCCCCCAAATACATCTATATCCCAATCCGCCATACTTGTGAGTGTGATACCATACACGGTAAAAAGGATTGTATTAACATGATTAAATTAAGGATCTTAAAATGGGAAGATAGAAGAGGCTGGGCGCAGTGGCTCATGCCTGTCATCCCAGCACATTGGGAGGCCAAGGTGGGAGGACTGCTTGAGGCCAGGAGTTCGAGACCAGTGTGAGCAACATGGTATAGCCCTGTTTCTACTAAAAATACAAAAATTAGCTGGGCATAGTGGCGCACACCTGTAGTCTCAGAACTCAGGAGGCTGAGGTAGCAATGAGCCGAGATCATGCCATTGCCCTCCTGCCTGGGCGACAGAATAAGTCCTGTCCCAAAAAACAAAAACAAAAAACGGTGGGAGTGGGAGAGAGATGATCCTGGATTATCTGAGACAAGGCAATGTAATCACAAGGGTCCTTGCAAGAAGGAAGCAGGAGGGTCAGAATTAGGGGTAGGAGATAGGATGATGGAAGTCATAGGTTGGAATGATGGAAGGAAGGGGCTGAGTCAAAGAATGTAGGTGACCTCCAGAAGCTGAAAAAGCCCAAGACACATTTTCCCTTCAGAGTCTCCAGGAGGAACAGCCCCTGCTACTGTCTTCATTTTCACCCTATGAAACTCATCTTGGACTTCTGACCTCCAGAACTACCGACTAAAAAATCTGTGCTTTTTCAAATCACTAAGTTTGTGGTAATTTGTGATAGTAATAATAAGACATTAATCAATATTTTATTACAGTTTAAAGGGTTGTGAAGTTTAGTAGGTATTATTACCATTAATTTAATTGAAGCTACAACAAAGAATTACAAAAGAAGGTTTGAAATTGCCCAGCCTTTCCATGCACACACCTCTGTAGGAACTACTAGCATCTAGAGAGCTTTGTGGAAAATAAAAGACGTGAGGACAAAGGAAAAACATGATTTTATGTAAGATAAAGAAAGCCTTTAATTCCTGTGTACTCTGTAATAAGCTAGTGCAGAACTCAAAGAACTCATAAATGATGCAAAACTTCTAAACAAAAGTGTAGCCATCAGCTTCAGATAAGTAAAAAGCTAGGTGATGCTCTAGGATATGAAAGTGAAGGGGCTTATCTACACAAAAGCAACTGTCAGAGGAATCATGACCCTGCAAAGGTACCCTTAGGTAACTTTGACCTATAATAAAAATCTGAACTCTCAAATCCCACCTCTACTAAGGAAGAAAATCCTTAGAACTGCTTTATACCTTGCATTTTCAAGACAATGGTATTCTAGCTATATTTCAATTTTCTATACGAGGTGGCCTTCCTTTAATCTGGGAGACAGGGGATACACAATGCAATACCGGAAAGTGTCAGCAAACATAAATGGCTTACTTTCATATTTACAGTTTCTATATATATTTCAGTCACTTACTTCTATCAGTAAATGGTGAGTTTGTATTCATTAGGCAAAATGCTGACAGTTTACTAAAATTAACCATGAGCAGATCGAAAAGTGCTTTTTAGGCACTATCAGATAAGCAGAATAGTAGAATTTGAGAAGACAAAAAGCTGGACTGCCTATAAGCCACTATAAGATCTATATGTCCTAAATTACCACAAAATTACAACCTTTAGAATAAGTATGCTCTGGGCTGGGCGCGGTGGCTCATGCCTGTAAATCCCAGCACTTTGGGAGGCCGAGGTGGGTGGATCACAAGGTCAGGAGATCAAGATCATTCGGGCCTACATGGTGAAACCTTGTCTCTACTAAAAATACAAAACTCAGCCAGGTGTAGTGGCGTATGCCCATAATCCCAGCTACTTGGGAGGCTGAGGCAGGAGAATACCTTGAACCAGGGAGTCAGAGGTTGCAGTGAGCCGAAATTGTACCACTGCACCCCAGCCTGGCAACAGAGTGAGACATTATCT